AGTGATTATTAATGTCCAGCTATGCCTTCCGCTAGCACAATCTTGTAGTACAGAGATAGAGACTGTGTTAACATTCATTGTGTGGGTGTTGCTTCCAAATGTGGCCTTTTCTGTAAAAGCTCAGAAGGCATTTTCTCGATATTAGCAGAAGATAGTGCGACAGTAGAAGACGGACTTTAGAAACCTCCAGGCTTGCACGGATAACATAAACTCCCCAAACAATATCAAAGGCAGCTTTCCCTAACCTTGGCATAGAATTTAATAAATAGACCAGGCTGGCCCTGAATGATGGTGATCCTTAGTCCTGGGCATTGACATTGCATATCAAGACAAGAAGAGGTCTTGTACAGTTAACAGACTGTAAGCACTATTTTTTTATTGCATCCTTTCAGTGAGCCAACAGCTACTCAACCATATCAGCCATTTTTTGAATATTTAGCTTAAAATATAGTGCTAAAATGTTAACATTGCAAAAATACTTGAAGATGGCAGGTAGACTGATCTGGTGTCTAGATATGAAGAGTTAGTTGTAAAGTATTTTTGTGGTTTTTGTGATACTGGGGATGGACTCAGCACCTGGCCTAGCCAAGCACACTTCCTCTGATACATATCTCCTGCTTTTTTGAATAAAATAATCCAAATGGATTGCTATTATTTTGTGTTGGCATTTAAAATAGATGAATCAATTTATTATGTGTCATTGTGGGCTAAAGCCATAGATTCCACATATATTAACTCAACATCCTATAAACATACTAGAGTAGTGGTCCTAACTGGGTGGTATGTTTCCTGTTTCCCTGTTTGAGCCACTGGTGGGTCAGATCCACACATGATTTGAACTCACAGCAATAAAAAGCAAAAGGAAGTATCTCTTACCTATGGAAAATAAATGTTTTCTTTTCTCTTATCAGATTTCCACAAATTTCCCATCATGCTCCAAAATGATAATGCTTCCAAAATGCCATGTTTATTGTCAGCACAGTGATTAATGTCTCTCAGAATATGTAAGAGACTGTGGAAATAATGGCTAAATTTATTTATTGTTTTTGAAAGATAGGCATGAGGAGGTGGCCAGCTGAAAAAGTGTTTGTGCAACCATGAGGACCCAAACTGAGCAAAATATGTTCCTCTAGGTCAGGGTAACTGTCTCGAAGATAGTAAGGGCCTGTCTTAAAAAATAGGGTAGGGAGTGATTGAAGTGGTCATACTGGATTGAGAGTGGTGGACACTGGACGTCAATCTCTGGATTCCACGGGTGAGCACACAGTTTGTACACATACAAAAATTAAGCAACTATTGGGGAACAAAGGTCTTTGTACCCACAGATCACTAGAAAAACCAGAAATGCTAAACACATGGGGGAGTATTCTCAATGGAGAAGATAAATTACATGTTTTCCGTCCCAGAAGGCTGGGAGTGGATTTTGTTAATGACTTGGTGACCTTTTTGCTGTCTGTGGAGACAAATCTCACCTACCTTTGCTACAGAGGCAGATCACACTCAAATATCCCATTGTCTCACTCTGCCTTTGCTGGACCATTTTTACCCATCCTTAGGGAAGATGCCCCATGTACTTTACGACTCATTGACCTCTATGCTGTCAGTCAGAGAAGACACTAGATTCTAGGACTCTTAGATATAGATCCAACCCTCATGGTCACACTTTGTAAAAGAGTTTCTAAGTAGTCACACCTTAAGCTTTATTGTCACCTGGAATTGGACTGTTTTCTGGAAACCTTCTCCAAACTGTACTGTGTTTTAAATATGCTGACAATGAACAGCGGCATTAGACTCCCCAAAGTCAGATCCAGGCTGACAAAGTCAGTGTGAACCAGGTTTTCACTCCCACTTCTTTGCTTTTCTGTTTGACACCTGCAGGGAAACCCTATAGCAACTATGTAAAATTATCAATATTCTGCAATAAAAGGGCTGTAATATAATAAATTATGATTTTAGCTTAACACCCCAACCTGTGCCTATAGCCCCTGTACTGTGGAACCTCAGGCAGAGACAGTGTGAAATTACTAATCCCATATCATCATAGCCAAACAGTATTCTCCGGGGGAGGATGATGGGAAAGCATCAAGTATGGCCTGACACCTAGCACGTACGTGGAAGGAGAGTGCTCTCCATCAGGAACTGGTGCATGGCAGTGTATGTGAACATCTAAGCTGGGAGGCCCAGTAGGGTCTGATAATATAACTAGCAGTGCGGGGGTTAGCTCTGGTGGTGGTGGGTGTCCCACAGAGTCTGATAACTTAGGAAATTTGATACTGAGAAATTTAATGGGGAAAAGATGTCCAGAATGACCTGAAACTAGAAATATATGTGGGATGGTAAAAGGGTGGGTGCCCAAGATCTAGTCCCTATCACTGTATGGGAGAAAGGGGCCAGACACACAGCGGTGTAGAATCTGGGGGCAATGTGTAATAGTAATATGTCCATCACTGGCTGATCCCTAGCAGTGTATGTGGGGTTGTGGTTAGAAATCAAGAAGGGCCTTTTATCTAATGCTGTGATCTTTAATACAATTCCTCATGTTGTGGTGACTCCAAATATATAATTATTTTCATTGCTACTTCATAACTGTAGCAATGAATTTGAATCATAATGTAAATAACTAATATGCCACCCCAAAGGGGTCTCCACCCACAGGTTGAGAACCACTAAGAAGACAGGCTCCTGGGCATGTGAGTTGTGTGGCAGCGAGATGTCCCCTACTAGTAGTTTAGGGTGGCAATAAGGGTGGAAGGGTATCCACTGCGGCGATGCCTATCTTGAAATACAGTTGTGTGTTTCTGGACAGAAATAGTGAGGGGAATGTGTACAGTAGGGCCTGATACCCAGACCAGTAGGTAGGATGAGGAAGGGGTCTAATAGGACCCAAATCACAACAGCGTACAGTAGGTCTCATACCTTACAGTACTGGCAGGGAGTTTAGGGTAGCATCAGGTCTTGGTACTCCATAGCCTAAGTAGAGAGGTGAAAGGGGTGTGGTGGCCAGTAGGGACCGATACTTAGTGTTTTACATGAAGTGGCAGGATTATAATCCAGCAGGTCCTGATAAGTCGTGTTATGTGAGTGAATGTAGGGGAGGGCACTGGGCAGGGTCTGATTCTCAGTTAATATGTGCTGGCATGTCTTCTCTCACTGTTCCGTCACATACTGTTAGGTTTCATGCTATACTAGGCTGACCCCCATTTCTTCCACACCATATAAACTTCTCTAGATCAGGCCCTGCCAGACACCCTACCACCAGACTTGTACTTACACTGCTAGGAATAGGGTTGCCCTGAAGACTCAATCCCTCCTAAGGCATCGCATACACTGCTGTTTCAAGTCAAGGTTACTACTTCCCGTAGTAAACACAGGGCCCTGCAAGAGAGCCTCCATACACTGACCTAACATGCTATATGTTTTATCAAGCTATGCTGGACATTCCACTGTTAATGCTGGCCAGGCACACCCTGTTTGTAAGTGCAAACGGTCCCTCTTCTCGTCTATCCTACCTGAAGTGCTCTGTATCGGGTTGCCTTAGTTACTTTTCTATTGCTATGACAAAACACCATGACCAAGGCAAATTATAAATCACAGAATTTAGCTTGCAGTTCCCAGTTTTAAAGTTTATGATGGTGGAGCAGAGGCACTAAGCTAGGAGGTTGGGGTAACTAAGAGTTCACCTCGTGATCCACAAAGAGAAACCAAAGAGCAGGCACATTGGGAATCACACCAGCCTTTGATGGCATCTCTTCCAATACCATCACACCTCCTAACACATCTCGACAGTCACCCACTGGGGACCAAGTATTCAAACCAGTGAGCCTGTTGGGGATTCTCACTCAAACCACCATGCAGGCCATGTCACAAGACACCACCCATGTCCTGTTTTCACCAGGCCCTGCCCAACACCCCTGCAGCTCTACAAACACTGCTACATATCAGGTCCTCCGGGACCCCTCCAAGCCCACATTTTGTGTTAGGTATCCAGCAGTGCCCCCACCACCAGTGGTATTAATCCCAACCTGCTAAACATAGCCTCAAAGCATACACTCACTGCCATGTATCTGGACCACTTGACCCACACAGTTCCAAACACACTTTCATAACGTGCCCTGATGGACACAGCCCTGGCACTTAGCCAACATTTTACTGATTATTTGTTCACTGCTCCTGCCATGACCTCACATGCACTATTAGGTTACAGGCCTGGTTGGCTTCACCCTTGCCACACCATCCATGTCCCTCATACAGTGCCAGCATTAGTGACTGCTCACCAGCCTATTTAGGAAGCCTCTTCTTCCTCATAAAGTACTAGCCTCAGGCACTACTAGACTCACCCTCTGCTGCTCTAGCCTTCCAGCCTACCGTGCAAGTTCACACACAATGGTCCTTCCCACTTGCCCAGAAAAACTTCAGGGTGTTGGCTTGAGCCAGAGAGTAGTCCTGAGACTATGCGCACATGTACTGCCAGGTATCATATGCTGTGTCCTTCATGCTTCATATACAGTGCTGGATAGGAGACCTTGAGCACCCACACCCACACACACACACCCACACACACACAAATACACAGCACTTCTCCCCTATTGTAAGACATCAAGTCTGCCTGCTCTCCCCCACCCCCCCAAAACCACACAAGCCATCAGTGACTGTGGGAGAGTAGATATCAAATCAAACAGAAGAAATCAAGCTAGCATGTGGGAATTCATTTCTCTCTGCTCTTGACTGTGGATGCGATGGAACAAATGATTTCAGGTTCCTGCCTAGATTTCCCCACAACAATGGACTATAACCAAGAATTGTACATCAAAATAGACTAGCTTCCCTGCCATGTTACTTTTTTGTCAGGGTATTTTATCGCAGGAACAGAAAGGATACTAGGACACCATCCAGTACCTGGCTCCTCTGTACTCCGGGAATCTGCACATGGCCCTTTAGTATAGCAGCAGTAGGGCACTTAGCAGTGCTGATAGCAGTGTGTGTGTGAATGGTCCTCCGACATGGTGTCCAACTGTAATTTCTAAAAAGCCTAAAGTTACTCTAAAGAGCCCACCTGAGCCAGAAGCATTTGTGCTCTTTCTGTTCCTGAGAGTTTTACACAGCCATGTCCTTCTGTGACCTCATGAGCCATTGTGAGAGAGTCCATCCAGTAGATATAAATGCCCTGGTTTTCTGTGGGTCTAGAGAGGTGGTGTGGAGTTTATACCTGTGTGATTGTCTCATCTCTAGTGAGGTCGTGAGTGTTTGTGTGTAGTACGTGTGCAGTGTGTGTGTCTGTGTGACTATGTGTACTATGTGTGAAAGACTGTGTGACTGTGTGTGAGTGGGTGTAAGTTCATCTGCCTATTCTGTGTGCCTACTGGTGAAGGCCAGAGCTCAACCTTCAGTGACTTACTAAAGGTATTTTGATAGCCTTAATTTCCGAAGCAGAGTCATTCACTGGCCTGTATTTTGCCACTTAAGCTAGGCTGGTTGGCCAAGGAGCCTCTGGAATATGCCTTTGTCTCCTATATACTGAGATTAAAGCTACTGACACTGGACCTATTTTGGGTGGGTGATTCTTTTGTTTTTATTTTTGTGGTGAGGAGCAATACTTTGAATTAAACTCAGGACATCATGCTTGCAAGACAAATTCTTTACTGAAGGAGGCTCTAGCTCCTGGATACTTTGTTTTCTATTTTTAATTTTATTTACTTATTTTCCTGCTTATATTCTTATTGTTCCTTTTTCTGTCTTGAATTTTTGTTCTATTTTAAATTTTAATTTATTTTGGTTTTCTTTAAACTTTTACTTTTAAAAAATATTCACAGATTATAGTAGTATACTCAACCTGTGGAACTTAAATGTGACTAGTTTTGATTTTCTAATACTTCTTGTCTGTTTGGTTTGATATTTACTTTTGCATGTCTGCCTCAGTTTACTTAGTAGATTTTTGTGTGCTGTTTCTGTTTTGATTTCTTCAGGAGTTCTGCCTTTTCTTAGATGTCTTTGATTGGTAGTATAAGTAGTTGCTCTTTGGTTTTGGGCTATTGGTTTTAGAATTTGTTTCATTTTGTATATTTTTTTTCAATCATTCTTATACCATTCATTTCCTTCCCTATTCCCTACTCCCTGTTTCAGCTTTTTGAATAACATCAAGAACATTCCTGACCTGTGACCGTTTGACTTCGCTGGACTATGGGTTAGGTCTTGGTTTGGGTGTGGAGTTTGGGTTTTGTCTGTGTGTCTTTGTGGGGTGTTCACTTTATCCTTTCACTTTATTCGCCCAGGCTGTGTGGCTTTCATTCCTTGTGTCTCTGTACATCCCTCCATATCTCTTTTCCTCCCCACCCCTTTTTTTGACAGCAACATTGCTAGCAACCTTGTCCAGTGACAGTGAGGAGTCCTCAGAGCCCAGCACAGTGCCCAGCATCTTTGACGAAGAGGTGTTCACCAGGCAGTACACCATCCTGAAGGCCTTAGGCCAGGGTGGCTCTGCCAAGGTCATGCTGGCCCAGCATCGTCTCACAGGCATTACAGTCGCTGTGAAAGCTCTGCTGAAGCAGGAGAAATGGTGTGAGCAGAAAACGTCCGAAGTTGACATCATGAAGATTCTCAGCCATCCTAACATCGTTTCCCTCCTGCAGGTGATAGAAACAGAACAGAACGTTTATTTAATTATGGAGGTGGCTAAGGGAGAACAGCTATTTAATTACATCCGGAAGGCTGGATGCCTGAAGGAAGATGAGGCTAGAAGCATATTTGTTCAACTGCTTAGTGCCATAGGCTACTGCCACGATGAAGGCATCGTTCATAGAGACCTAAAACCTGACAATGTGATAGTGGATGAGCAGGGGAAGGTGAAAATTATTGACTTTGGCCTAGGTGCCAGATTCAGGCCTGGGCAAAAGTTGGAAAGGTTGTGTGGAGCCTTCCAATTCATTCCTCCAGAAGTTTTCCTTGGCATCCCTTATGATGGCCCCAAAGTAGATATCTGGACCTTGGGGGTACTCTTATATTATATGGTGACAGGGATTGTCCCATTTGGAGGGGACACTTTGTCAGAACTTAGGGAACAAGTTCTGAAAGGGAGGTATGACATCCCCTATCAGCTTTCCAGAGAACTGAGGAGCATGATTAGCCTATTGCTAACAATGAATGCGAGACAGAGGCCAACTGTCTGGGACCTCATTGGTCACCCATGGCTTCAGAAAGGGGAACAGATGTTTACAATTCGTTTCAAAAATGTCATCAGCTTCCCAGACCCTGAAATTGTAGCAGCCATGGAAAACATTGGGTTTGATGCTCAGGATGTAAGAGAATCTTTAATACACAGGAAGTTCAATGAAACAATGGCTGCATACAACCTACTGAAATGTCAGGCATGCCAGGATGATGGCATTAATGCCCACTTAAAATTAATGAACCCAGGGGCAACACCTTTCCCTTCTATTGAAGACCCTGACATATTTCCCCTGCCACCAAAGAGGAGGGCCAGTGAACCTTCCCTTCAGATATTAGTCTCATCCTCTGGAATCCCTCATCTAAGACAAAGGAGGGGGACGAATGTACCTGGCCTATCCAAGAAGATACCCAGCCAGAGCAGAGGTCACAAACGCTCTATGACTGCCCCGTGTATTTACTTCCCAAGAAACATTGAGACGGATACTGATGATACCAGCTTTTCCACGAGCTCCCAGTCAGAAAAGACCTTAAGTGGCCAGGAACAAAGCAGGACTTCAAGCTCAAGCTCCTTGACACCCAGGGGCTTCGAAAGATGGAGGAAGAGGATTAGGGCGTGCATTCTCAGACTATGCTGCTGCATCTCATCTCACAAAAAGTGTCCGAGGAAGGTGTACCCCCAAAAGTGAGGGGATACCGTAAGATGACAAGAAGTTCAAGGCATGGTCTAGGTATGTTTCTATATTTGCTTTTATCTATGCTTTTACTTATGTCCTTGTATATAGACAGTTAATTTTACTCTATGGTGTGCAACCAGTTGGTAGGTTATATCTAGATACTGTGGGATGTGGACTCCCATAAAACAAAAAACAACTTAAATACTTTCTCATTCCAAGAGGAAAGAGCCAGGACATAGTATAATCAAATAAAATAAAAACCAAAGTCTAGTGTAAATCAGAAACTGTAGCTCAGTATCCCAAGCCCAGAACTAAGGATCTTCTGGGATCCAAAGGTCTTGGACCACTCCTCTGGGTTCCTGTGGCATCTACAGCACACATGTCTTGTCAGGTCAACCTGACTCAAGGCACACTTGTTACTCTCTGTTTTGGGTGGTCATCCCACGGTCCTGAGATCTCCATTATCCTGGGGTCTGCATTACAATGAGGCTGCATCTTCAACAGTAGCTTCTCCTAGCCTCTCACAGTGCCACACATCAGCTGTTCTCCAATCCCTTTAACCCTGCTTCTCTTTCAGACATCAGCATCCAGGCCTCCATTGTTTGAATTCTATCAGCATCCTTCTCTGTTGTGCCCCACAGGACATCCTGTAAGCTTTGAGAACAATGGCTTTTCAGTGTAAGGTTGCAACCATTTCCACAATCCTCTGCAAACCAGCCTGGTCAGTTCTGACACAGCAATACCCCACAATATTCTGTCTTAATTTGCTTTCTATAGCTGTGATAAAACACTGGCCATAAGTAATGGGGTGAGGGTGCAGGATCTTTTTGTTTTTGTTTTTGTTTTTTGTTTGTCTGTCTGTTTTGCTCACATGTCCCAATCACAGTCCATCATTGAAGAAATCCAAAGTTGGAACTCAAATAGAGAAGGAACCTGTGGGCAGGAATTGAAACAGATACCATAGAAGAATGTAATTTGCAGACTTGATCCCTTGATCATGTTCAGCTCCTTGCCTTATACCCTGCGTGACAATCTGTCCAGTGGCAATATTACCCACAGTGGCTGTGCCCTCTAAATTCATCATTAAACAACAAAATGCCCTCACAGACTTCCCTACTGGGTATCTGATGGAGGAATTTCCTCAACATGGTTCCCTCTTTCTAGATGACCTAGCTTATGTCACACTAATCAAAACCTACCCAGCATAGCCTGAAGTATAGTCTCTTAAACTTCAGAACTAAGCATATTTGTTTCAAAGTGTCTTATAATTCTTAGTATTTGAGAATGGGCTGATCCCTCAACTCATAAACAAGAGGAAAAAGCAGGAGCAAAACAGCCAGAGTAAAATTATTGCCTCTGAAAAAAACTAGAAGGTCTGTGTCTATTTGCAACAGAGTTAGCTATTGTTTGTCCCATGACGTAAAAGTGCCTGCAGTGGAAATGAGAAGCCAGAATTTTCACTAGGGAATCTCATTCAAGTGAAAGCTGAATTGGAACCCAAGGTGGCTGCCTCAAAGATTGTCACCAGATGACTTCCTCTGCATGTTTGTGGGCCTCCTCCCTCATTCGATCCTGTTATGTTTTCTTTATTCTCCCAACTGGGCTACCCAAGTCATCTATGGCTGATGTTTGTCACCCCCTAATGTGAGGTTGTTGGGTTTTTCTACCTTCTTCTTAGTTTATTTTTTGATTTGCTTTTTGAGACAGGGTTTCTCTCTGTAATGGGCCTGGCTGTCCTTGAACTTGCTTTATAGACCAGGCTTTTACCACAGATATCCACCTGCCTCTGCCTCTGGAGTGCTGGGATTAAAGGCGTGGATTCTGCCTGCTCTTCTTTCTGCCATGTTAAAAACCTGTTTCTTCCTAGACACTGAAAAATATTCTTAGAAACCAAAAACACAATGATTGTAGACCCTTATCTAAAACATATAAAACTACCTTGGTCATGAAGAACCTAAAATGTTGAGCTAGAATTAATAGAGGCAAAAGATGTTTACCAGAATAAGAATGGAGGGCGGTAGGAAGGAAGATGTGGTCCTGGGTGTGTTGAAGATTTAGTTAGTTGGATCAGGAAGAGATGGGGAGAGAAGGTGAAAAAGAACTAAATTTCAGAGGAAGCCGCTTGGAGAGCCGTGCAGAGCAGGGTGATCACAGTCACTGAGAATTCCAGTCTTATGCTTCCCTGCATTTAAAATGGCCAACCACGGGACACTGAGCCCATGATCCTGTGATCATTATGCTGTTATTCTTACATAGATACATACAGCTGCAGGAGGAGAGTATAGGAAATCCTGCCTGCTGTGAGCTCTTCTTTCCTAGTTAGAATCTTCCCTCATCTCCATGGGAGTATCTCTGTCATCTGGAAGTCTCTCAGGGAATTCCAGTTGATGAGAGGAGAGCCGTTGACACAAAATTAACAGCTGAAAATAAACAGCAGCTAAGACAAGGAACAAACCTTTTGGCTGCCACATGAGAGTGCAGGCAGATCCTCAGCTGCAGTCTGGAGACAGGGTAGAGTCCCTCACTCTTTCTCCACAGCATCCTCTTCCACACAGAAGGGACAGGCACTACCATCCCTGTTTAGCAGCCTTTCACTTTCTCTTCTCTGGTTTGGCAGGTTTTTTATCCCGATTGGCCTCTCCACCTCAGTGCATGCAGAAGCCCAATCAATCAGCATGTAAGTCTGTTTTCCCGGTCTGCCTCTCATGAGCCTCCTGTCTCTGTCTGGTACCCAGGCCACCTGGCATCAGAGGAAGACTGGGGACTTTAGAGTCAGGCACACTGCCCTGCTTGTCAGAACAGGAAGAGGGGGGAGACTGATGTCAAGACTGTCCGGAAATGGATTTCCGCAGACTTGATGCTCCAACTCAGGATGGGAGCACATTCCTGCTTCATCCAATAAAACTCAACGTGCAGCTGCGGCAGAGGGACTACCTCATGTGGAGGGGCCATACCTACACATCTGTCCTCTGAGACCTGCTGCTTCTGGGAACTGCTCTCCCCACAGGACTGCTCTTCATTGGCTTTGGGGGCCTCTGAGAGCTGACAGCTGTAACTCTCCCCATCTCTCTTGATGGGCATTCTGCTGCCACTGGGGTCTTAGGGTTTCTACTTTATGTTTCTTCTTTTTGTCTGAATTATTGCTCCCATGTTGGAAATAAAACTCCTCCCTTTTTTACTCCCTTCACTGTCCACTCCAATCTTAGAGTGGCATCCACCTGAGATAAATAGAACTGACTGTATCACAGCCAGCAGAGAGTCTAGTCAACAAAGAGTACAGCCAATAGGGATGCCAGTCAGTGGGAATTCCAGCCAATAGGATGCCAGTCAGTGGGAACTCCAGCCAATAGGATGCCAGTCAGTGGGAACTCCAGCCAATAGGATGCCAGTCAGTGGAAGCTCCAGCCAGGGGGAATTTGAGTCACAGGCAATTCCATTCATCAGGAACTCTGGTCAGCAGGGTTTTTAGTTTGTGGAGTCTCCTGTGAGTGCTGCCTACATTCAATGATGATACCAGTTGGAAGGAACTCCAGTTAACTTTGATTCCAACTAGAGGAGACCACAAGCCATCAGGGATCCCATTCAGCAGCCCCCCCCCCCAGTTGGTAGAGACCTGAGCCGGCAAGAATGCCTGTCAGAGCAGACTGCAAAGAGGACTACATCTTCAGGGAGTGCAGTCAATGGCACTAACCTCTCCAGTCATCTAAGGGTAGGTATTAGAAATCTGCCCGGAGCTTCTGGAGATAGAGACTGTTGTACCTGGTGTGGTAGCTTGAATGTAATTGGCCCCCATAATCTCATGGGGCATGCCACTATTAGGAGGTAGGCTTTACCTGACTAGGTATGGCTTTGTTGAAGGAAGTGTGTCACTGTGGAGGTGATCTTTGAGGTCTTTTACTTCATTTAGTGTCACGGTCTCCTCCCTGTTGCCTGCAAGATGTAAAACTCTCAGCTCCTTCTTTAACACCATGTCTGCCTGCATGCCACCATTCTCCTTGGCATGATAAATGGACTGAACCTCTGAAACCGTAAGCCGGCCACAACTGTAAAGAATGACCACGGTCATGGTTGGTGTCTCTTCACAGGAACAGAGAATACTGCCTAAGATACTGGGTCACACCTAACTGCTGTCTCTGGAACTCCTCTATCCTGCTCTCCTCTGGCTTCATGGTACCAGGAGATGAGTAGTAACACAGTGGAGCATCTTGTATGTACTTTTCACAGAATTTGAATAAAATTGATGTTCATGAAATATGCTCCCCAGGGGCACTCTTTAGCCACACCCTCCTACACAGAATCAATATGGGCAGTCACAATTTTGGTGGTAGGTTGTATTATGCTGAGAGTTAATTCAAAATCTTCAGGACAAAAGGTTTCAAATAATTATCATGGTCCCTCCATCAGGCTCTCAGCTGCTTTAAGGGAGGAAATACAAGACCCAGTGTGGCCTTCAGCATGGATGAACACTGTGCATTTTCTGGTGCTACCAAAGGGATCATTTGGTGCTGTCAGAGATGTGTGGGAGCCTGATGAAGTTCTGTACACACTACTGTAGAGTCAGAAGTGGTATTAGCATGGTCCCAGCCTTCCTGAGGAGTACTGGTGCAAGTTGATGGTTTCTTCGCCTGCATTTTGCAAGTTCCCTGTTCCTCTGCTGTAATGCTCTCCTCTTTGGATCCATGGTTGAGTCAAGACAGTTCCTATGAGGAACACAGGTGTGGAGCTCTCAGATAGCCAGAGTGTCCAAGGGTTACAAGTCATAGAGAATCATAGTTAAAAGTTGGCACTGAGTCCCAGAGGAGACCAAAGACAAGGATTCTAGAACTGTTAATACTATGGAGACCTCTATCAGAGATGGGTTAACAGTATTTGCATTGTGACATGGACAAGAGCTTGTAAACCAGAGATGGAATGTGACAGTTTGCATGTTCTGTGTCATCGATTTCCAAGATAACACTGGCCAAGTTGAGTATAACTTCTATCCTTCCAATATGAACCACCAATGATAACTCTCTGAACACATATATCACAGTAAATATATATGTATA